TAGACAGACAGACAGACAGACAGACAGACAGACAGAAACAGACAGACAGACAGATGGAGGCAAGCAGAGAGGTAGGCAGGCAGGCAGGGATGATAGCTTTATTTGTGCAAGGAACAGCTAATTTAAATTAACAATATTTCTCCCCTCTTTCTCTGTAGGAGAAAAGCTTGCCTAAAACTTTCATCTGAACATTGAACAATTAAGCCTTCCTCTTGCACAACTTGGCCTCTGTTATAACACCAGACTCCAAAACGCAACCCCGCACCAAGAAATAAACTTTTTTTTTCCCCTTGCTCTTCCCAGGATCCCACGAACGGCTACTACAGTGTGAACACCTTCAAGGACCACCACTCCACGCCCACCATCTCCCTCTCAGGTTGCCAGCCAGAGATGCGGCCCGCCAACAAGCAGCGCGTGCCGACAGGCATGTCCTTCACCAACATCTACACAACCCTGAGCGGGCAGAACCGCCTCTACGACTACAGCCAGCGTTTCATCCTGGGCATGGGGAGCAGCTCCATCGAGCTGTGCGAGCGGGAATTCCAGCGGGGTTCCATGAGCGACAGCAGCTCCTTCCTGGACACGCAGTGCGACAGCAGCGTCAGCAGCAGCGGGAAGCAGGACGGCTACGTACAGTTCGACAAGGCCAGCAAAGCTTCAGCCTCATCATCTCACCATTCGCAGTCCTCCTCTCAGAACTCGGACCCTAGCCGGCCTCTGCAAAGGAGGATGCAGACCCACGTGTGAACGGACGGGACGAAACCGGCAATGGGAGGGGAAGGAGGATGGGATGGACTGGCCAGCAGGTCAAGAGACCACCTGAGCTGAATCCTGGCCCTGCTGAAGTCAGCAGATCCTGGTGGTGGGGGGGGAAACGGAGACTGTTTGACCAGTTTATTTGTGTTCTAGTGACCTGTAGCTCCACAAAGCCCCTCTTCTCCCTTTCTTCTCTAGAGTAAAGGCTAACGCAAGGCGGAGGGCGCTAGACGAAGCCTTGCACTGCAGATAGGACTCTTCGGAGAGACTTAATGCCTTCTTTCCTAGACCCGTTGACTCCCTTCCACAAGGGGGGAAGGACTCACGACAGCTGAACCCAAACTAACCTTAAGCACAATGTCCATTTCCTTCCTGTAGCAAACCCTGGCGTGGAAGGGGTGGGTGGGAACAAAGACAAGGGAAAGGACAGATCACTTATTTGGGGAAACCTCCCCGGGGGGGGGGGTGTCCCTTCTTTTAGGGAGGACGGGCTTCTAAACCCAACGGTGCAGGAATAACGACATCCATGGCCTTCAGCGGGAGGCTAAGCATCCTTGCTTTTCCGACCAAATAAGATAATCTCCCTGGAGAATATTGGAGGTAGCTATGACCATCTATCACCTACCAGCAAATTTATATTTCCCAGTTCATCCAACTGGCTCCCTGGGTTGGGCCCAGGGGAGGCATCTAAGCTGCCTTTCGCTGGCATGTCATCTACCTTGGGTGGGTTCCTGAAGATGAATCGACCGATGCTTCTAGAATCCTCCCTGCTTTCCACTTCCTCTTCCTCTTAGTGACAACGATTCCTGTCTGTGGACATTTTGGAGAAGGTGCATCTTCAACGCTGCCCGTCACGTGCACCAGCAAAGCCAACCCCTCCCTGCTGCTTAGCCTCATTTGCAAATTGTACGGGGTGGGGGTGGGGGAGCTGTGTCCTTCAAAGCAACCTCAAACAACATGGCTTAACTTAAGGAAGTTTCCGTGTGAGGGGGAGGGGGATAGCCATTGGTGTAATGACGTGCACTGACTGCTAAACCTGGTCTCTTATTATTTTTAATGACTTTTATTTTGTTTGGTGTTTGGTGTGTTTATCATATTACAATGTGTCTTTGGACTAAAAAAAAAAATGGAGTCGAGAACTTTTAAGCGTGGCTTCTCAGCAAAATACCCACGTATGCCTCTAGCCCATCCATCATGCTCTGATTTTGATTTAAGAGGAACTGTTTGGGGGAGGGAAGACTGAACTCCTCTTTTGAGTGACATGTGACAATCACTGCAGAGGGGCCCTCCCACAGTGGGCTGCTGTGGCGAGGGAACATAAAACATGTCTTACTTCTGCTTCTGTATTCCCTGCCTTCCCTTCCTGTCATCCCCCCCACAACAGCACAACTGGAAGACTAATACAAGAATTGTTACAAGCACCATGGCAGCGAGTCCTTTGGAAACCAGTTTGATTTGAACAACTCTGGTCCAAAAGAGGGGGGGTGGAAACACACATACACAGCATTTAGTGCAAGAAACATATGCCTAGTGTGATTTCTTACTTTCAGAATTCAGGGCTTAGTCTGTGATAAAAAGCGTAAACATTTTCCAGGAAAAAAAGTCAGGAAGTCTTGTCCATTTCCTCTAACATATTCTTCTAGTCCTAGCACCGTTGCTTCAACACCCCAAAGGTAGAGAGCAAATATATTATCAAAGTTTTAGCTTAACAAAATAATAGAATCGGAAGGGATCTTGGAGGTCGTCTAATCCAACTCCCTACTCAAGCAGGAGACCCTACACCATTTTGGACAAATGGTTGTCCAATCTCTTCTAAGAACTTCCAGTGATGGAGAACCCCCAATTTCTGAAAGCAAATTGTCCCACTAATGAATTGTTCTCCTTATCTCTCAGGTTCTCTCCATGGTTAGTTTCCATCCATTGCTTGGTTCTATGACTTCCATCACAGAGTGGAGGACAACAAGAGGCTGACCTTGTCACATGACATGTATCTGACATTTCCCTAAGCCACACCCCCTGGTTTGAGTCACTGATTTCATTTGATCTTAGCAGCTTTTAGCACCCATTCATGCCAACTAATAAAATGTTTGCTATATAAAAGCTAAACTCAATAATATTAATAGACGAAATCTAGCAGGCACAATGATATAGCCAACAAACCCAGCTCTTATCCACGAATGTGTACTTTTCTCACACAATGGACCCCAATGAAGAATGCTTGTCAAGTCTCACGAGCTATTCAGATCAAAGCTGGCCTGGCAAGGGGAGAACTTCCGATATCAAAGCAAAATTTGGATCAAAAAGCAAGCCAACTTTCTCTGGAGAAGGGGCAGGCAAGAGC